GTGAGGTATTAGTTTCAGGTTCTTGGCAGCGAAATTTATTCTCTCCTCTCGCAAAAGTTAGTTGCACAGCAAGAAACTGTTATTTATAACTTACCAGATGACTAGAAATATCAAGAAATCAATGGTACCGGGTATTAACAGCACAAAACGTAAGTTGGAAGGTCACTGTTATCTAGCAAAGATAAATTGGATGATGTCTGTCGTATACAGCCGGCCGGTATAAACTCGACGAACTGGGAAGATAGGGACGCCTGATATATGGGATGTCTGGACATCTTGATCCCCAGGCCATTGTAGACTACGTCGTAACCAATTATCTGAGTAATTAAACGACTAAGTGGCATGTATCAGTGAGAGTCTATGACTAAATCCAAGCAGAAGTGAATAACGTTTATGTAACTTATTGGCCTGCCGCCGCAGATTGGCAATCTACTGTGCTACTTGCTTTGTCAGTCTGAAATGAATATTTGGCACAAATCACTTCATTCTCAACCGATAACAATGAGCACACTGCTGAAGAATTTCCGGTGGAAAGCAATTCAATCGGTAATGCACAAGTCAAACAGCTGAAGAACGGGTAGCAAGTCGACGAGGTACAAAAGCTGGGAAAACTTGCTGCCTTCGTCTGGCTATGTCTGATCGCAAGTACAGCATGATCGTGCTACTCGCTATTCTCGCTTCTTATTTATAACAAAACATAAAGTAAATTAAAACGAACTAAAAAAAACATTACAGTCATTTTTCTCTTACCGAGAACGAGCACCGATGACTCGGGAAGATTGCTGGTAGACTTTGACCGGACTTCGTCAAGAATCCTGGACCTAAAACTTATAACCTAGACAAATATTCAAAGGTCTGCCTGAAACAAACCAGAGATTCTCTTCCTCGTTCAGCGCCACGGGCATTTTTCTAAAATCGAATTTAAGTCAGCATGACTCAACAACGGTTACAAACAGTTTCATTACAGGCTTGAATACACTTGCAAAAAGTAGAGATCAGAATGTTAAAAGACATGTTCTAGAAAATGAAACATGAAAAACGACCAAACCAAACATTCCAAGGAAACGTTAACTAGATATAAGATTCCGTCCTCTGCAGCTCGTGAGTGGTGACAAATATTAAGTGACGTTAGCATATAAATATATGAAGCTGTCAACGATCGAAAATATAACTGGAATATTCAACATGTACATCAGAATTCTTAAAGATTTTTGGCTCTTTAATTCACTCTATCTGCTTCAGTCTCATTCTAAATAACACAAATGCACGAGTATCAATG